ATTGCTTGCAATACATAACAAGATAATATAAAATCATTGCATCTGTGATTGATCAAAGGGAGGCAACCGTCGAAAAGATAGACACGCTGAGTTAAAGTGTGCTTATCTAATCGACTTCTTAATTGATCATTATCCAATATACTGATATGATTTATGTCATGATTTCAATAATATATTTGCTATGAAAATAATATTTTCCTCACTCATGTGGTTGAATTACAATTAAGGTGTAATACCACCATTGATTTTCCCCTATTAGTCTTTGTTAAATTTGCACTTTTCAAAAAATTGTGCAGAATTTATCTTTGTTTCAAATAAAGAAATACTTGGCATGAGTAAAGTTTTATCCTGTCCAGTACTATAGAAAAAAATTCACATAACATTTCATTGCATATAAGAAAATAACCATCACTGGAAGTTAACCAATCAAATTTTCCCCCTTTCTTAACCTGTATACAAGCTTTAGTAACCATGTAACCTCAAGTTTCCAAAATATTCTATAGAAACCCCAAATAAAAAAATATTGGTGCTTTGAAATACCCAAGATATATGTTTATGACCCAGAAATGTTTTACTGCAATGAAATGTAGGATCAATTACCTACAACTGTCAAATTCAAGGGAATATTTTTTTTCGACCTATTTTCGTATGCAACCGGATGTGACGTACTATGATTTGGTGGTATTACACCTAAAGAAGACTTTTTTGTTAAATAAACTGAATGTGACTTTTTTCCTTTGTAATACTGGTTATTTCAAGCATTCCTGTCAAGTTTTGTCATAATCAGTTCAATAGTTTGAGAAAAATCTAGTATAATGGAAGACGACATCTACAGCGATTCGAGCAAAATTTCTTCGAAAAATCCAAACCAAGCCGCATCATGATAGAATATAGTGTGGACCAATAAATGATCAAATATTTATCTCATCTGCCTACAAACAGTTGAATATGATACAAAAGATGACTTTAGGATGATAAATACTACTAATGGACCTCTTTGTCTTCCTTATAAGGTCTCTTTTGGTCCATTTATACCTCTAATTTCCTCAAAATTTCTACTTTTTAGGCCAATAAATAAACATTTTGGGGTAACTTTCACTCATTTATGATAGAAATGTTATAATAAATGATTAATTGAAGTATTCAAGCTGAATGAACTATCCGTATAAAAATTTACTGTCTCCAAGGAGGTTTCAATAAGTCCTTACGCAAAACTTAAATTTACGCCGCGTTCCAGAGAGGGACATAAAAAGCTTCTCTTTTGGTGAATAATTTGTTGTTACTGCTTTTAAAATAATTTCATTTACTTAAAACTATATATTTATTAAAGTATTTCTTAGGAAAAATTTTCTGGTATAGCAGAATATAAGAAATAAGGAGAAAAAACTCCCCAATACTCTAAGTATGGCTTGTTCTGTAAACTAATATTCATGGTAAAGTCCTATTTCAAGGAAATTTTCTCATAAAATGTGTTTTGGAGACTCAATCCACTCAGGATATTTCATTATTTGTAATATTTCACTTAAATAGCCAAAAGATTTTAACACGTGAGAGTACTCACAAGGTCAAAGGTGCATGTACAGCTTCCCATATTAGGTGTAATACCACCATTGATTTTCCCCTATTAGTCTTTGTTAAATTTGCACTTTTCAAAAAATTGTGCAGAATTTATCTTTGTTTCAAATAAAGAAATACTTGGCATGAGTAAAGTTTTATCCTGTCCAGTACTATAGAAAAAAATTCACATAACATTTCATTGCATATAAGAAAATAACCATCACTGGAAGTTAACCAATCAAATTTTCCCCCTTTCTTAACCTGTATACAAGCTTTAGTAACCATGTAACCTCAAGTTTCCAAAATATTCTATAGAAACCCCAAATAAAAAAAATATTGGTGCTTTGAAATACCCAAGATATATGTTTATGACCCAGAAATGTTTTACTGCAATGAAATGTAGGATCAATTACCTACAACTGTCAAATTCAAGGGAATATTTTTTTTCGACCTATTTTCGTATGCAACCGGATGTGACGTACTATGATTTGGTGGTATTACACCTAAAGTAACAAAATCTTATGATAACACTGACTTTTTAATTAAGGTAAATGTGCCTTTTATTTCTAGGACCTTTGGATTTGAATGATTTTTAATGTCTTGAGTGGCATTTTCTACTCTTAACTGTTGAAATGTTCGTTTCCCAAAAATATACTCTTTAACAATGTTGAATGATTTTAATGACAACACATCTGTTTGTATGTTAACTGACAATTATTTAACATATATTAATAATTCAATGTTATATTAATTTTATATTTGGGTCGTAACACTCATATTATATTTGTTCTTTTAATGGTTTTTTCAATGAGCATTTTAGACAAGCCCCTCTCATACATATCGCAAAGCATTATTCATTACAAAGTATTAGTTCATTTATTTCATTCGGTTTTCAAATCATAAAGGGGTAAATTTTCTGAAAGAAACAATTCTCGTTATGAATTTTACCAACCTTATTAGTGGTAGGCGTTCTGATAAGAATTTAATGGCAAAAACGAGATAGTACACGAACAAACATGTAATATCAATGCTTAAACTGTATTATAATCAATTAGTTCACGACAGATTACAAGTCAAGTAAGTAAAGACACTTCTCCAAATCATTTGTTTGTTTTGATAGTTTATTCATTTGTTCACTTAAATGATCGATTTTCTTTTTTTCTTTTTATATCATTGTAAATTTCAAACAATTAAGGCACATTCCATTAATTGAGTACGACTTTCAAGTCTGCTTCATACTGTAAGCAACTACAGACAAAGTAGTTCACATTAAATGTGATTTTTCATTGTACACAGTGACCATTTTAATATCATTTGTCAACATTCTGATACAATATAAGAATAAGAAGATGTGGTGTGAATGCCAATCAGACAACTCTCAACAATGCATGTCTACATAAATACTGATAATTTTGTCGAATTTCATCCTTTTTTTTCTATTTTTCTTTTTTAAGATAAACATGACAAAGGATGTGCTGAATTTACATCATTGTATTATGATATGCAATCTTTTGGGAAATGTCCCAACAATTTTTTTTTTGTTTTGTAAAAATTATATTTTACAAAATGACAACTCTTTTTAAACATCCGAATTATTTGTAGTACTGAACATCTAATGCATCCTGATTTTTTTCTATTCATTTCTAGCATACTTGTGGATTTTCATCACAAACTCGACTATCGTTTGATATTTTGATCTTTTTATCTAAATGCATTTATTTTAGTATTTCATGACGGCGTATTCAAACGTAAAGGATAAATAGATGCACTAAAATTAAAATAAAAACATTCAAAAAATTGCATGTAAACTTCCGATTTTTGTTATACCTTAATTAACACGGACGGTATTTTTCTTACTACAGTAAAATCATCAGCAGTTTGCCTCTTTCTTCAATTAATTGTTTAAAATTAATGAAAACGTTTTAAACTAATTGGCGTGTCGAAATATGTGTTTTAATAACTATCTTCATGATAGGAGAACGTGTACGCAAAGAATATTTGACCAAATATGAACAACCTTATTGTATATCATACAAAAGTATAGAATGACGAAAACAAGAAAATACAGTACATAATCAACGTTCAAGTCTGAATAATTCAGTATTCTAATATGATTCTCTGTGTACGCTTAGTTATACATTCGTTATATACGTATACATTTGATGTCATCTGATCTGTAAAGTCATGATTTCTTTTAGCTGTTCGAATCATACTCCCACGTCGTAAGGTTCTTCAGAATGAGTCACTCTATCGCTCGTGGTAAAATATCTAGCATTAAGGGCCAACCCTTATAAATCCCCCATAAAATATTGCTTGAATAAGTTACCAATCAAGGGGAAAAAAGAAATCGCATTACATGAAATCAAAAGGAACGACATCGTTTTGTTTGGACAGGATTAATGGCCTCTGCAATACATGCATCATCCGCAACAACTGTCTAAGCTTTTTGACTGTCGAATATTTCACCAGATACAGCTTTAAACTTGAGATGAACTGATTTGCGGAATGTTTGCAAAATTTATATAGAATAAATGTCAAAAAGTTGAAAAGGTTAAATTATTTTAATTAACGTTAATGTAAAATTAAAATGTTTTATAACAATTGTGCATCATATAAGAACAATCATCAGGAGTTAAATCAAACTGTCTGATTAAGCGGTTCATTGTCACTTTGTAACGGCTTTTTCTAAACACTTGATACAACTATATATCGATAAAAAAAAACGTTGCTGACCGAAATTCAAAATTTGAAAAATCTATTTTGAATACTGTTACTTCAGAAATTGTTCTTTTGTGTTTTATTATTGGTAACTTTTCGATTGGAAAGTTTTTGCACAAATACAAAATTTTAATTTTGCAGTCATTTGTATACAGCATTTCCTGTACTCGTTATACAAAATATCGCATTGGTAATATATCGAACAAAATATTCATCCTAAACATTTCTGAATTGCAGTCACCAAATCAAAAAAAACGTCTGAAGTTATCAGAGGAATTCCAAAGCGAGCAAGACCAGGTGTGTGGACAGGATTATCGTCTTCAAAACAAACAAAACAAATCACATAAACAAAACACTAAAACAACAGCTTTTCCTATTCCTATACATTAGTTTTCATAAAATGTGTAGCATAATTTTCATGCAAAGCTAAGATGCTAAAGAACTTTTTTTAACTAGTTAATTGTTCTTTTTGGGTGGAACAGGTGAAAAAGAGAAACACGTTTTTTTTTTTTGGTTTTTGTTTTTTTTTTTTTTTTAAACTGTTGCTTTTCCATTATTTTTTATCATGAAGTACTGTTTTAAAAGTATATTGATTATTGTTATTACTTTGGAAATCTGATATTTGTCCCAATGACTATGAATATGGCAATTTTAAAAAATAATGTTACATTGAGATTTCATTCAAAAATAAATTTGACACGCCCCTTGACAAAATTTCTTAGTTATAATTTATGTTTTTAAGGATGCTACTGAAATGTACCTTTGTTTCCATGTTCAACATGTTGCTTGTTCAAAGCGCAACAATATGTAAGTGCATTAAATTTCTTTCTTGTATTTTTGATTAGATTCAAGGGGGATTGTATAGTATTAACAATCAGAAATTATTTTTCAAAAGACCGACAATACCAGGCTTGAAAACCAAAAACAATACTTTACAAAAACAATAATAAGAAACACAAGATTGCCAAACATGAAATAATAAATTGGAATAGGCTCATTCTACATCATGGAAGTAACTGACTGAGAATATTGTTCATAAGAACATCTTTATATCATCACAATAATAAAAGTCAGAAATGACACAGACGTTCCTGGTTTGAATAATGGCAAGCATTTAAAAATATGTAAGTCCTGTATGTCAACAACATGTTCGATGTGCAAAATATGTTTGAGAAAAATGCATTGCATCAAAATTTAGTGGAAAACACTAACTATATATTTTTTTTCTACACATATAGACATCTTAGATGAAGATTGCTGGTAAGAAGTATAATTTATTGAAAGTTAATTATCACCATTCATCACTGTCTACCCTATGTCTCCTACGCATATATCGATATACATGTATATTACTCACCGCTTTTAAATGTGTGGAGGAACTTTATTTTCTACATTTTGATACGAAAATATGTATTATAAATGATATGCTCTTTTACATAGCTGAGGTACGTCTCACTGGAGGAGCAGGGCCTTGGGAGGGAACAGTAGAGGTTTATACCGACGGTAGTTGGGGAACGCTTTGTGACTACGATTTTGATTTAAACGATGCAAGGGTTATATGTCGTATGTTAGGATTTGGAAGGTGTGTACCTGTTGTTAAGTTAAACAGCTGATGAAATTAATCTCAGTTAAAGCATTTAATTGTCTACTCATCATTATTATAAAAGGAAATTGTAAAATTTGATATCAATCTAGATATAAGTTCCTTAATTATGTCTTCTCTCTCTTAAATAAGGGAGCTGCAAGTTTGTTTTCTTTGATGGAGAAAAAATATTCAGATTAAAGATATAAATCTATATAAAATTCACAAAATTGAATCCCATTTCAAAAACTAAGAGAATGCAACTAATACCATAACAAACACACAGAATTTCAATCTATAAACTATAAGTTTTAACTGTAGCTAGCGAATTATCGATACGTGTATCGATTGTTTGTGATGATGTCTTTTTGAAAGTATCTTTAAATGTATTGACACCTTTTCGCCATAATGGTTAGATGTATGTTAGACAGAGCAATTTTGAAATATTTGAAATAAATGAATAACGGTGCAGTACCAAAAAGTGATTACGCATGCATTTATATCTGCATTTAATTAAAAAAAATTTACGAAAAAATCACATTCTACGGGAAGTAAAACCAAACATTCATTTTTTGTTTACAAAGAGAGAGTAGATGCACAGGGATCAATCAGAAATCAGTAGTCCTTTAAAAACAGAAAACACCGTAGCTAAGACGATGAAATGATAAACAATAATAACAAAAAATTACACAAAAGCTACAAATTGCGCAATGAGAAACCCAACAAGAAAAAATAAGTGTAGACAATTTTCGAATATTCTTAGGAACTTGTGGAAATTAATCATTCAAAAATCAAACAAATCTAAATATTATTTATCGACAAAAAATATTGACTTTAACGCTACCTTCACTATAAAAAAATAAAAAGATGTGGTATGATTGCAAAAAAGAAAACTATCCACAAGAGACCAAACAACACAGACATTAACAATTAATGGTCTCCGTACGGCCTTCAACAATTAGCAAAGCCCATACCGCATAGTCAGCTATAAAAGCCCCCGAAATGACAAATGTAAAACAATTCAAACGAGAAAAAACTAACGGTCTAATTTATATACAAAAAAATAAACGAAAAACAAATATGTTACACAGCAACACACAAAAATTACTGAATTACAGACTCCTGACTTAGGACAGGCACATACAGAATGTGGCGGGGTTAAACTCGTTTGAAGGCGACAACCCCTAACCTGGGACATTGGTGTAACAGTACAACATAAGAACAAACTATAAAAATCAGTTGAAAAAGGCTTAACTCATCAGATGAATACAAATAGAAATACATCTAACTTTTCTTATTAACTTGTTTCAGAGAAATTCAATTTTTTCCACGGGCAAAATTTGGACAAGGTATCGGTAAAAGTCTGTTTAGTTACCTTTCTTGCTCTGGCAATGAACATAACATTGGAAGTTGTGGATACCGGACTTCAAGTTGTAGTCATAGTCAAGATGTCGGGATTTCTTGTGTCAGTAAGTCTAATTTAATTTTTGCTTACATATGATTGAAGGTGTATCTCATTACGAAAACTCCTGATGAGCATGGAATACTTCTTAAACAAAAAGTAGAACCCAGCGTCGTAAGGTCCTTATAAGCGAAGATTGGACACATGATTTGTATTTTATTCAATTTATTTAATTATAGAAAAGGTTTTCAATAACTTCAAATGCAAAACGCCATATATATGTTACAGTGCATTTGTATAATCAGGGATTATGTAGAATCCCTGGTTTTTCAGGGATTATGTAGAATCACTAAACTCATTAGTGATTATATATAATCCCTGAAAATGACCAGTGATTTTACATAATCACTGAACATTTTACTAATTATTTTACAAATTCCCTAATATGATTTCAGGGATTATCAATAATGAAAAAAAAAAAAGGGAAAGGTTTTACCAGTGATATTTTATTTAACTGTATGTTGAACCACAAATTTCACAAACAAATAAGTATGGCAGAGGAAAATACAAAATGCAAGCTATGGACAAGGAACAAAAAATGGTATTTTTACTTTGATGACAAAAGAACCAAGTAAAAAAAATCCTGCTTAATTCTATCTGCTAACAAAGTATATATTTAAATTGTTTAAAGACTGCTATTATCCTATATATTTCATACATATTACACTCTTTACAGCATTATGCAGTACTATAGGAGGGGACGGGGTTGGTGGGCATGGATCTAAAAATAGATAGTCTTCAATGTTTGACGAAACAAATATATATTTTGTGAAAAGCAAAAGTTGTCAAAACTAGATATACAAAAACAGAAGTACCATTTATATGATTTGCCTCTCATAAGTATACTAGTTTTTATAACAAATCAGTGGTTGATTCGAGTTGAATTGATGGCGTTGTCCATAGAGGGGATAAATAACATGAAATTCAATTCTGAGAGAAATAACGCAACAGAGTTCTGCTAGCATCAGCAATCAGTTCACGGCTGCTGCATGATTCCCTTTTTTTGGGTACCTTCAGATGATTGTATTACAAACTATATTTCTCTTAGACATGCCGTAAAATCTGATTCGATATGAGAAAGACAAGGTTTTTTTAATGTGGATAGTGTAGTAAAACAGATGCGAATCAGGTAGATGTGCCAGTAGAAAAACAGGGCAAATGTGCAAAAGTTTCTGCCATCCAAATTTATTTAATGAATGTTTTAATATATTGTGCTTAACATTTTTGTATTTTGTGTAAAATATATTGAGGTTATCATTTTAATATATAGTGCTTAATATTTTAATTTTGTGTGACATTTTAAAATATTATGCCTAACATTTTTATTATACTTTAAGGTTATCATTTTTGTCGAGCCTGCGACTTTTGTCGCAGAAAGCTCGACATAGGGATAGTGATGCGGCGGCGTTAGCTTACTTCTTAAAAGCTTTATATTTTAGAAGGTAGAAAACCTGGATGCTTCATACTTTGTATATAGATGCCTTATGTTACGAAGTTTCTGTCTGTCACATGTCCATTGTCCTTGAACTCATTTTCATGGTTCAGTGAGTACTTGAAAAAAAGTTAAATAATTTTTGTTATGTTAATTTCTCTCTTATTATGAGTAATAGGATAACTATATTTCGTATGTGCGTACATTGTACCTTGCAGGGTCTTCACGCCCGTCAGACAGTTTTCACCTGACCTCGGCCTCATTTCATGGATCAGTGAACAAGGTTAAGTTTTGGTGGTCAAGTCCATACCTTAGTTACTATAAGCAATAGGACTAGTATATTTGGTGTATGGAAGGATTGTAAGGTGTACATTTGCAACTGGCAGGTGTCATCTGACCTTGACCTCATTTTCATGGTTCAGTGGTTATAGTTCAGTTTTTTTGTTATGATCTGTTTTTCTTATACTGTATGCAATAATCTACAAATTTGGTGTATGGAAATATTTAAGGATGTTTATAATGAAGTTTTATAATGATTTGATATTATAAATTATTTAGTTTAACTTACATTCATTTTCTTCATACACAAAACTGTTTCTTCATTTCAGTTATTATGCATAATCCCTGACGTCTTTTCTAGTGATTATACATAATCCCTGAAAATTTCAGTGATTATATAATCCCTAAACTAACCAGTTACTTTACATAATCCCTGAAAATTTCAGGGATTATGTAGAATCCCTGATTATACATATTCACTGTAACATATATATATATATATATATATATCTGTGTGTAATTTTTTAATGTAGTGGTTTGTGAATTGTACTGAGTTCAGAATGTCCGCTTGTTATCTTCCGTGTCCAAGTTAGACTTATAACCGGGTTTGTACTTACATGAGCAACACGATGGGTGCCACATGCGGGACAGGATCTGTTTTATGTGCACCTGAGATCACACCCGATTTTTGTGGTGTTCAGTCTTTATTTTTCTATGTTGTGTTTTGTATACTGTTTATTTGCCTTTGTTTGGTCTTGGCGTTGTCGGTCATCTTTGACTTATGAATTTGAATGTCCCTTTGGTGTCTTTCGCCTCTTTTTTCCTATTTCTTTAATTTAATATATAATGTAGATTGGTAATGTTTGGTATTGAAACTCATTTTGGTGTTGCAATAAAATGTTTGTCTTACGTTATTTTGAAGAAGTCATACACTGTTATTCCTAACATCACCTGATAAATTAATCTTAGTGAGTATAGTAATAAGTATGTTCTTATAACATCATAGCACACTACTCTGTTTTGTATTTCTTTTAGGAACACACAGATTAGAAACAACAGAAGGTAATTTCCACATATATCAATAATTTGATAAAAGTTAAGAGGGTCGAATTTGATTTAATAGCATTTCATTAGGTAGTATTCATATAAAACGATCATGGTTTTAACGTATGATTAATATTTTTGTTATATCAATAGCAGGCTTTCAGGTTATGACAATGAATTATAAAATAGCAAATCGAAGAATTGAAATATCGAAAAATATTCAACGAATGACCAAACAACACATTAATTCACGAATGCGCGTAGCGCATGTGTTAAATATCAGTGTTGTTCGGTCACTAATTGAATATTTTTAGATATTTGAATTATTTGAATAATTATTCTTTGATTATATTGACAATGGGCTTTTTAATGGAATTAAAGTAGGAAATGTAAGGAACTATATCTTTTTCTACGCATTCACAATTTACTTTGATGCGACATCATCGACAAAGTCTTGATAACACCTATTGTTGTATGACGTCAGAGGAGTGAAACTATGGGTTTTTATTTTCTGTTGAATCACGGTTATTCCTTGCAACCAATGTAATAATGAAATATACTCAAATAATTCATAATTAATAAATACTAATGTTGCACACTCAAAATCAGCTGAAAGATATCCACATAGAGGAACTTCAAACAATCCACACACCATCTCAAACTATGAATGTGTCTTGACAATATGTCAATCTTCCCTGGTCTAACAAGGTGTCAATAAGTGTAACCTTCACTATCAAAGATCTACCACAAAATCCATATTTTTCAATAGACACAAATATATAGGATACGAAAAAATAACTTCGTTCTCAGTTTCAGCATGCCATATTAAATGTGTCATGATTAAACCTGTTTAGTACTCAACATTTCCTTCTTCATTTGAAACTTGTTATTTCGAATACAAATTTGAATCAAGAAAAATAGACAATTTTACATTATTATTTTATATTATTTAGGGATCAGACTTATAGGAGGGACTGGGCCATATGAGGGAACGGTGGAATTAAATGTTAATGGACAATGGGGCACCATATGTGATACAAATTTTGACAAGCATGACGCTGATGTTGTCTGTTGTATGGCTGGTTATACCAGGTAATAGATTACCTGAATTCAATGAAATGTTTTCAGAAGATCACATAAAAAATATGAAAAGAAAAATGTTTAATTGTTTAATATTTATAAGAGTTTCGGAAATGCACACTCATCTAATATAGTGTGCAAACACATGATAATTATAGTAAACGGCAATGCACGTAAACACATTGTTCATAGTGAGACACTCTGCTTAAATTATAAGCGTGTGAAATAGCTTTGTTTATAAAATATTTGCTCAAAGAAGGTCTGAATAGAAATATAGAGGCACTACTGAATTGTTGAAGGGTTTATTGACTGCAATCTAGTTTAAAAAATCACGATAGTTGTTTCAACATTTGTATATCAATACATTTTTAATAAGATTGGATAATTCCGAAAAGACGTAATATTAAATCAAGAAATCTAAGATTCTTAGCGAAAATCACACTAAATTTGTTATATGTCTGGGCAATACACAAACAAAAAGATAGAAACAATCTATCTTAAGAATTTCAACTTTATTTACCAACATTTAAGCAAAACTATTAAGCTCGATACAATTGTATCTTTACTCAGTCTACGTTCTTATGCTTATTTGTTTGTTAACGAAAACTGTAAATACCTTACAATTTGATATAAACTGAAAATACAGCATTCAGTTACGTTTCATATTGATAGTCCAATAGTGTATCACGTAACTTATTTAGGGCTATACAGGCTTTTTCAAATGCACATTTTGGGCATGGCAATGGTTCGTCGATACTCTACAATGTCCACTGCAGTGGCAATGAGGACCATTTAGACAGTTGTGGATCTAATGGATGGTTTTCTAGTACGTGTAGCCATGACAATGATGCCGGTGTGGCTTGTCTTGGTGAGTAAAAAGTAAAATCACAAAAATACTGAACTCTGAGGAAAATTCAGAACGGAAAGTCCCTAATCAAATGGCAAAATCAAATGATAAAACACATCAAACGAATGGCCAATAACTGTCATATTTCTGACTTGGTACAAGCATTTTCAAATGTAGAAAATGGTGAATTGAACCTGGTTTTATAGCACTAAACCTCTCACTTGTATGACAGTCGCATCAAATTCCGTTATATTTACAACGATGCGTGAACAAAACAGACATAAAAGGTAAAATAGTCACAATATGGGTACAGCAGTCATCACTGTGTCAAAATCTCAAAACAAACAAATATTTAACACAAAAGCACAAAAAAGTAAAATCATAAAAGTACTAAACTCCGAGGAGAATTCAAAACGGAAAGTCCCTAATCAAATGATTTCGTTTTTTACTAGATTTAGCTCGATCGATTTTAAGTTAATTAGAACATTTTGTACTATCTATATTGAGAGTTATAATGCCCTTATTAACCTTTACACAAAGGTAGTAGTAGTTGCTGTAGTAGTAGTAGTAGTAGTAGTAGACGTGTTAGATAAATTACTACTTTTTACAAACTACAGTCGAATGTTCACAGACGATAAACAGCTCATAGGAGATGTCTCAAAAGAGGTAATGGTTGTTTTTCTGTTAACTGAAAATACTAAATGAATAACTGCAGAAACTTTATAAGTCATATAAACAAAAAATATCTTCATTTGAGTCTCACAGAATTGTAGAGTTGATGGGAACCAACGTCACAAAGAATCTTGATGAAATTTAACAGATTTGTATATTTCGCTTTTTTTTTTTGGTGATAGAGAGAAATAGGTAAAAAAAAATCGAAGCATCAAAAAAAAAAGAAGGGGAATCAAAGACAAACCTGAGCACAAAGAAAACAAACGATGACTACGGATGGCCAATCCATAACTGAAAACCTCAAATAAATGAGAAGCACACAGACCCCGTCGCTGATAAAAATAACTACAACACAAGCCGCGATGATAAAGCTCATGAAATATGTCCTCTCAGGAAAATCACCCATCCACTTCCTCATTGAGTATTTGCATATCCATTTGTACAATTTATTGATTGGTGTTTGCTTTACGCCGCCTCATCACTTTATTAGGTATAAGTAATCACTGCGACAGAGTGGCAGCTGCAATAATCTCTGAAGATGGCGATCTACCAAGATAGAAACCGATGTATTTTTTTTTCATCTGTCACTATATTAAAAAAATATATATTACAGAGTTCTTTTTCATGACATGTAGCTTGAGAGTTTTCACTGAACTGTAAACATTATCGTTAAATGGGGTAGCAACTATTATTGTACCGAGTCAATCGATAATGAAGTTCTTTTGAGATGGTCCCTAAGGCTTATTTCAATGTATCAACTCTAGACTCTCGACTCTCAATTGTCAACAGTAAACATTCATCTGAGAAGTATTAGTAGTCAGAAAGGTAGTTGCAGTGATTAATTCTCTTTGAATAATATAACTGTATAAAAAGTTAATATTCAGATTAGGATGATGTATGTGTGAATGTTTATTTCTTTTATAACACCTGTTAAGGAACTATCCACTTCTGAACTCAAAAATAACATTCTACTTTGCAAACGCCTTACACTATTTTATATGTTTATTCAAATCTTATACACGAATCGTTCTGCTTAAACATTTTACTTGAAATACACAGTGACTTCTTATGTGTTTATATTATGCTGAAACTTATTTCAAGGTGATCCTTGTATCAGATGATAGGTTTTGACAAAATAATATAAATGTACTGTAAAGAAAGAAATTAATTTTTTCCACACAGGGGTCAAATTTATTTTGCGGAAAATGATGACAAAAGTCTGCACTGAATTTCAAAGATGAGAATTAAGTATTCAAATATCTGCAAAGGCATTCAAAATTTAAAGCAGACCATGTTTAAGTTTAAAGTTTTTAAGTTCTAATATCGATTTTTGAATTTTTTGCTGAAAATACGATTTTTGAAATAACAAAAATTGCAAAAAAAAAGTTCGCATATTTGCCTTAAATCAATGGTTTTGATGAGAAATTAACACTCTGTAAGTATAAGACCAATTGGGCAATTATTTATCTTAGTACAGTGTATCCAATTTCATTATATATAGAAAGTACATTGCCTTGTATCGTTTCTTTTGTTGACTAGTATATAAATATATATATATATATATAAACAAGTCTTAATTGAATATATATATATATATTTTAGACAGTGACAGAAAATCCATATCACAAGGTACTGTTTATGTTATTATTTATTTTACACTTAATTTTAAGATCACAATGCTATTTAAAGGTTACGGAGTTCCTTTATTAAGATTTTGTTGTAACCGGGCTTTCAAATTCTTTTTTATTTTGTTATGTTTGGTAATAACGCATAGTTAATAAATGTAGTACTTTTCCAAAGTGTAGAAAATGGTGTGAAATAGATGCAGCTGTATTACGATTAAACATTGTTGCAAGTTTAAATAGGTATAATCAATAATACAAAAAAAAACATCCAATTATGAACTATTCACTGAAGAAACATCATGTATATGTCCAATAAAGGTAGATACTATTATATACAAAAATTAAGAAGATGTGACCTGATTGCCAATAAGACATACAGTATGTCAAATTTAAATAAACGACAAGGGCTCAGTTGCGTACTGTTCGAAATATTGTTTTTGTTGGAGTTAAGCTTACAACAACTATCTGAGGGGTGCGGGAAAGTAATCAGAGCGTAGCATGAGGGAGATATATTCTTTATTATAAGAGCAAATTTTAATAACACAATATTGGTATTGTTATACATGTACCAATAACTAAGTGCTGGACACTGGGCTGGTGATAACCTCGGATACTCAGAATACACCACCAGTTGTGACCTGGTTGAAGTTCAAATGTCAGCCAATATCGGGCTTACTTCAATTGTAGTTGCAGTTCAATATATCTCCGTTCCTCCCGATCGACCTTCTTTGTAAAACAATTGTTCAATTTCTCTACACAAAAACAAATTCCTACTAGACGTTAAACGATAAACAAATGATGAATCAATTATGTTAGTGTTAAACTTGGAAAACTTGTATTGCAATGTAAAACACGAAATATTTTACAACGCAGCGTGTGTCTTGTCCTTTAGAGACATCATCTTCATGGCTTTATGATTTTTTTGTATTACCTAATTAATCAATTTCGCATGTAAATTTTAAATTCAATTCTCTTATAATGGATTTTGTTAGGAGTTGAGTTTGTAGGAGGAACCGGTCCACATGAAGGAACAGTTCAAATAAATGTAAATGGGGAATGGGGAACCATATGTGGAAGTTATTTCGATATGAATGATGCAGAAGTTATTTGCCGTATGGCAGGATATTCAAGGTAATACAAAGCTTTATGGGTAATATGTTCAATCAAGTTACCTCATTTACATATTCCTGTTCATCTACATTGTATACAAAGACATCAATATTCATTACTCAAACTATGATTTTCTATATGAGATAAGACAGTCAAATATTAGTTAACTTGACTCTCCCATCCCTCCATAATTCAAATGAAATAACACTTAATATTTTGTAAAAAAAAATATCTTTAATCTATGTTCAGCTTTCTTTAGAGTTAAGATTTCTTTAAGTTCAGATATATATTCGACTATACGTCCAATAGTTATAAGGTAATTAGTATGTAGTCCATAGATACTTGTTACTGTTGAATAAGTCGTAAAAAAACTCTAGAATATTTATATCTCCGTTCGTCCGTCCACAAAACTTTTTTAGCATCTTTATACAACTGAAATTCAGAGCTTCTTTAAATTTAGTCTCAAACTTTATGTAAACATGTTATACAGTCTGATTTGTTTTGATCTTCTTCTTTCACCAACTACCTGTTTACGGAATATTAACATTCTAACATATAATGAAGAAGTATTAATTTTTTGGAAAATTTTTCTGAGGATTCTCCTTAACTTATATATCAAGTTTCCAGTGGGTATCAAGGCTGCTTCTCTTTCTTACAAAAGACCGGAAAGATCTTAATTTACATAAAAGGGAGTTAAAACAGTATTTAGCTTAACATAGATATCTATATTGAACTGACTCAAAGACGATTTAAAAAGCCAAATCTACGGATATTCTGATCAAACTAACAACCGAAGTTCAAATAATGTATTGGAAATGTGTAGGACATAGGAAATGATGAATATCGGTCCCCTCGCTTCTTAATAGAAAATTTAGTCGAATATCTACAAATCATTACTGTACGCTCAACAGATTAAAGGAAAATGTATCCGTATAAACAATGTTTTCCGAGAAACTTTAATACCCTACCAGCTAAAAATGAAAACTTTATGGTAGAATGAAAATTAAACGTACTTAAATATTCATAGTACAGGTGTTGAAAACTGCAATGATACTACATAAGTGAAACGCACAGAAGTGTTAAGATGCCCGCTAAAGGAATTTATTGAATCAGCCGATAAATGATTAAAGAACCGAACACAAATACAAAATTAAACCAACCATTGTCTTCAAAGTGAAGCATAGGACAGTTGTCAGTGTGTGAACTTTTTTTTAATTATAAATCCCCTTTTCGTTTATCTTTTGACAATATAGTTAGTTTTCTCTGCACTGTTGGAAGTACACAATCATTCATTCAAATATGTTCAATATGACTTTCGTGAAGTTTTCTTTCAGAGCTTTACAAGCATACAGTAGTGCCCATTTTGGTCCTGGAAATGGATCTGTAATTCTTAGTAACTTGCAATGCAGTGGAAATGAAAATATTGTAGACAGCTGTGGATCCGATGGTTGGTACAAAACTGGTACATGTGCACATTCAACTGATGCAGGAGTCGTATGTTTAAGTATGTTTATTATTCCTTATTTGCAATTTGAAATGACTTTATTTCAAAGTTTTAGCTTCGTATTACCTTTAAATTACTTGAATTTTAAAATAAAGTAAAAGTTGCGATTTAAAATGGTTTAATATATACATTTCCTTGTAGCACTGTCTAGAAATGCCAAGTAAAGTTTTGTCATACAAAGTCATAACATATACCCGACTAATATTGTATTAACCAAGACGTAAGATTCTTTTACACACGATTCATCAATGGCGCTTGAATACACTGAAATTAGAAGGTCACCTTTTAAGAGCATTGGACGTCATTAAACCGCAGAAAATTGTACTTAGTTGGGACAATAGAATTTAACCGATGTTCACATATCATAAATCAATTGCGTAACAAATAAATCGACCAAGAAGATAAAAACTCAAGGTAACAGACAAACCCTGAGGAATTCATATAGATTGACAAAGTACCAAGAACGGGTACATCGTTTGGTTAGCGTCTTCCTCAACTGTTATGCAAACATCAGCCGTCATGCCAATCCCCACAACGAAATCTTATCATAACCGGTGACATTACTGATAAGTCGAATATTCTGGTATCTAAAAATCTAAGACCGCGAAAACATGATAAAAACGCCTTTGACAAGCAATGAGTTTGGGAGAAAAACCTTCATATTTTGAATAATATAAAAATTTGTGAACAGAAAACTTACCACAAAATTTACATTCACAGAATATAAAGATTTTTAAAAGAAATAGGTATTCAATATCATATGTCAGCGAATTTTTCACTATAATACATTGTTTTCTGTAAGTCAACATACATTTTTGTGTTTCTTTTGCAGGAAATGCTAATAAATACACAACTGAAGGTAAATTATTAAATCTTGACATTGATAATCTCGGTTGGACCCGTTAATACCAACTCTCCAGCATTTGTTATTAAGCTTTGCAGAAACAATTTAATGTAATCTTCTAAATGAATGTAAGAATTCTTTGTTGGAAATGGATAATTTTGATCAAGATGTTGCAATGTTATCTTTTATCCTCTTTTTTTGTATATCAGATTTTAGTCATATTTCTGCCGTTACCGCTTGAATGTAATACATTTTATCATCGTATTCTTTTTCTCTTTTTTTACATACATTTCTGAATTAAGGTAAATACAACAAACTCAAACTAGCCAAATACTGTAATTGGTTTTGACATATGAACTGCTATTTTATATCGTTTTCAATATTCATTGTTCCTTACATCACAGTTAAATAATTATTGGGCATTGTCCTGAAGGATTTTCAGAAACTTATTGCAAAACAAACAATTTGCATCATTTAAAATATGAAGGAGTCTTTGTATACGTTTTGTTGCTTTTGTTGATTTTCACATACACTTGTCGATGAAGATGCTAAAAGGAAATTGACCAAAACTAGTTATGACATAGTAAATGTACAAACAGACCGCACAGCCTTTTTTCAAAAATTGCTTTGACATAAATCATCTGATGATTTAACCCAAAAATATTATCCCATGGGACAATTTTTAATTATCAAGTTAGAATCGTTAAAAAACCTTAATCAGTAACTTAAAGCCATTTTTAGAATTAAAAAAAAACGAGCTGGAGAAATTTTTCTGCTTTAACATATTTTCTTATTGCTGATCAGATATCAAAATCAGGTTAAATGTGGCAAGTAATGAGAATAAAAATATGAAGTATAAAATATAATAAGTAAATACATCACATATCAAGTCAAATGAAGACATAAATACTCCTTACACTGATTGAAAGCGGTTTCTATCTTTTATTGTAGGGATCAGATTAGAAGGTGGGGCAGGACCATTTGAAGGAAGAGTAGAGCTAAATATAAATGGACAATGGGGAACAATTTGTGACAACAGCTTTGATTTACCGGATGCGGAAGTTATCTGTCGAATGGCAGGATATTCTAGGTACAACATGTATTATCAATTTCTCTGTCTTTAATTCCATCGAAATCCGTATTAAGTGCTAGAAAAAAGGGTAATGTTTAATACTCTTACATGCTCTGGTTTTAATCAGATGTGCAATAATTTGTCTGCATTTCTGGAATTAATCAGCTGTCAGAAGGGTTCGAAATCAAAAAACGGAAAAAGAGCTTGATAAAAGCAAACAATTCAACTTGTAACAAAATGAATATCAAACCAAGTCAATAAAATAAATCAATGATATCAATGAAATATTTCAGTTCCACCCTGTCAGTTCAAAACCATTTACTAACATAACATGCAGATAAAGGCAACGCTAGCTAGTTACCAGATTTTCTATGCTTATAAAAGCTTTGAAAAAAATAAAATTCAAGGTAAAACACAACCTTGGGGAATCGCATCAAACACCAAAAGTAGAGAAAAGATATGTTTCGACAGGGTGAGCATCTCCTGCCATGCATGCATGCATCTTCTAGCATGCGAATTACACTCAGTCAGTCCAAAAAAATTAGGATTCAATTGGTAGATCGGGTGCCTTTTTTGATCATCCCTTCTGGGCATGTTGCAACAATACATTTTTTAGTTTTTAATATTCAATATGCAACAGAAACATCTGAAACTTTAAATTTAAGGATTAAACTATAAAAAAAAATCAAAGTTCGTTAAATGTTATTAAAATTGACAAAAAAAGTCCATGTAAAATCAAGGGCAAATAAGTGTATCGAAGTTTATAGGATAAGTTTTTTTCTCTCGATATAAAAGAAAATAACGCCCGTGACCCCTATTTGTATTTGATATTTTGGAAGTATTTAAGGAAAGCAATGCTCTCATTGAATTTTAACCAATTCTATCGTTTTGTGTTTCTTCAATAAGGAAAATTTAAAGTAGCCTTATATAACCATATAAGATAACTGTGATTTTGTTAATTTCAGTGAAATTTAACGAAAATCAAGGTCCGTGACCCGCAATATTCATATTGAAATTCAAAAGTACATTGGCCCTGAAGACTTTTACAGATGTTTTAGAAAAATCTTTCGTTATACATTCGGATACCCCATCTACCTCAATTTGCAAATCAGTCAACTATTCTTGTTTCTATGCGTGTCCACTTTGCTTGTTAACCCTTTTTAGAAAATGCCGGGTTTTTTATTATTTAAATCAATACATGTTATCTTTTCAAACCCAACCAAAGAGCTTTGCAATCATTTACAAGAGGTCATTTCGGAGTAGGAGCTGGTCCAATTTACCTCGACAGTTTACAGTGTAGCGGACATGAACGACATCTTGATAGTTGTGCATCAAGTGGCTTATTCAAAATCTCGAGTTCGTGTCAACACAGTGATGATGTAGGAGTAGTTTGTCTAAGTAAGTTTTATTTTAAGAACATTTATGTTAATGAACAATAAAACATAATACATAGTTTTTGATCAACTGAACTTTGTCTGTGGTGGATAGTTGTCTTATTGCCAATCATACCATGTATTCTTTTATTGATATATATCATAAAGTTGAACCGGATGAACGTTTCCATGGTATTTTTACAAAAGTTTACAACGATAGCACTTATGATGTTACCGATAAAATTTTGAATATTTGAATTGGTCGTTTATTGCTAGTTGATTATCAATTGTAATTGGCATTTAACTAGCGTTGAGTACTCGTATATCAGAGATTTGTGTCTAATATTGTATGTCAATGTCATGTTTTTGGTGCTTCATACCGATCTATTGAGTTAAGCCATCTGAATCGGAGTTCGACCGTTTTTTCCGTATGCTGTTCTGTTACACCACTGTCCTAGGTAGGGAGAGGGTTGAGCGTTCGAAAACACTTTTAACCTCGACACGTACTGAATGTATCTGTCCTAAGGTATGACCTTGTTATTCAGAGGTTGCTGTTTGTTCGTGTCAGCAATAGTTGCTTTTATAAGTTGTATTATTACAAATTAGAACATTTGTTTTCTTGTTTGAATCGTTTGTCATTCTTTATTCCGGGGCTTTTTTAACTGACTATACGTTATGGGTTTTTCGCATTTTCGGTTACCTATATTTGATTTTATCTTCGGCATTTGAACGTGATGGTAGAACATTGTCTTATTGGCAATAATACCACATCTCTTTATTTTGATAACATATATACTAATTAAAACCGATTAAATCCAAGATGGTGGATATGGTTTTGTTCAAGATCGGTGTGTCCTGGTGTTTGATATTTTTGATTGTGGTAGTATAAAATTCTAGAAAATAAGAGAAACTATAAGAGCCAATGACTAAAGGAAAATACCTGTATGTGTATTAATTGGCTAATCCACACCGAGTTTCAATTTTGTGATTTTGTCATTGATTTTAATCTTATCATTTATATATGCTACGCATGAACTATTCAATAATGTTTTACCGCTTCTATTTTCATTAATTATTGTTTACGTTTTTACATACAATTTAGATATAAGTAATTTCTGTGAAAACCCTCTTGACATATAATTTATCATTGTATTTCAATTTCATATATATGATAACTTACGATAGTTAGTAATATAAAAGTAAAAGTTTACTATGAATAAAGCCTTTTAGAAACACATTTTAAATATTGGACATATACCATTTTATCAATACAAAATATGTAAGGTGTTCTTGGATTGATGTATAATTGAAGTTTGTTGCGCGTTCTTGTAATCTGTACAGGTTTTGGGATAAATCAAAATTTGGGCGAATCAAGAATATTCATCCACATTATAGTTAACATGAAGAAAACATACCAGAACTATAAAAAGGCAAGCATCTAACAGAGAGAGCAGACTGCAAATAGTTGTCATAAAATGCCAAACACATATCAAAGCACAAACGCATTATAAAATAGAATATCATACATCTGAAACACAAGACACTCAAACAAACAAAAAAACGCTGATTTTCACATTGTATGTTCTGTTTGTAAATTACATCGCATGAATATATTTCCAGGTGGAAATAGAACAGATGTCGTTCAAGGTATGCTTATCTTACTGTTTTTGTTAGATTGACATGTAAGTTATCAGTTTAAAAATAATACATTTATGAGTTAAATCCACTGGAGGAATTAATACATTCTAGTATGAAGGAGTACCGGCTTACTAGTTTATACAGATAAAGAGGTGTAGTGAACACAGTGAAACGGAATCGCTTCAATAGAGTGACACCTAGTATGTAACGAATTGAATTAGAGGCAACGATATTTTACCTATGTTCAAATCTAATAAATTACTTCAGAATATAAAAATCATGGTAAAATATAAACAAATGGAAAAATCTACATGAGCGAAATCAGATGTGAGGTTTGGGTACACACTTTTACTGTGCAAGCAACACCGGTTATTCGAATCTACACACATTCAAAATGTCACAATAAGCAATAGGATTCATTCAATAATTTTACAGACCGGATGACTGTTCTGTTACCTTAAGATGTAAGACCGCGAAAACATGTCAATAGAGAGTTGATTAATAGTGGATAGTGGAATATTGGAAGTTGCCAAAATGAAAGTTTAAATCATCACGTTTGTCATGGATTTTTGTTGAAAACCGCCAATCTGTGTCAATATCAAGGTACAATACCAAGATAAGAAGTTCTAGTTAAAGAAGTATCTTTCATCTTAAATTCACCGAAACATCTCACTGAGAAAGGAAATTAACAACCGATGATACCGAACTCTATGGAAAATTCAAAACGGAAAGTCCGTCCAAACACATCAAACAAATGTACATCAACTTTCAAATTCCTGACTTGATTAAGGCGTTTCCGTACGTAGAAAATGGTTGATTAAACCTGGTTTTATAGCTAGCTAAACCTATCATTTGTATGAGAGACGGAGACGTATAAAATTCCATTATATTAACAGAAATACCAAATAACAATGTATAAAAATAGGAATACATTGCGTTATAATCTTAATCAATATAAAAACAAACAAATATGTCAACAAAGAAAAACAGAACGGTATATAGGCAAAGCACATAAGTAAAAAAGAAAGACAAGAATACAAAAAATGACCACAGCACAATAACACAATGGCGGAAAGTTAAGTAACGAGTGAAATGTATCTGAAGTAAAAAAAAAAAAAGGCTTTGCCAGGTCCATGATCCTTTGAAATATTCTTTTACTCAGTTTGGTCATATTGGAACAGATTTTATTTAGCTATTCTGTTAAATCATATAGCTCTTCAACTGTTTCTTGTCTCCTACATACTTAACTTTTAAAATAGAGCATGCATGATGAAGGTACTTTCAGACCAAATGCGCTTCGGTTACATACATTTAAACAGTTATTTTCAATATATGGTCTAATAGTTATAAAAGCACTGCCAATAAAATGGTTTTACATTTATATGTTACCAAAATAGAATAAACATGATTTATTGGTGAAAAAAATTATGTAAACCCAAGTTGAATTTTACAAATAAATAAAAACACTTTATTATAGATTGTTCAGGACAATTTGAACTGGTTAATGATTATGTAATAAACTCATGTTATAGGGGTCAGACTTGTTGGAGGTTTTAAACAATGGGAAGGTCGTGTAGAATTACAAGTAAATGGTCAGTGGGGTACCATATGTGGATATAGTAGTGGTTTTGATATTGATGATGCAAAAGTAATATGCAGAATGGCTGGACTTTCCACCTCTGGGTAAGATTATTTTTATCATCTGCTCTCTCTCTTCCTGGTAATAATTGTGAGTTACTGTATATTAGACATAATGAACACATTTTTTTTGTATTTAATGGATCCCATGTTTTTCACCAAGGGACATTATTTTCCCATGTTTGTCTCTAAACGAGCACATCTTCATTCTATTATAAATATCGATGCATATTTTATTATTTCATGTATCATATGTATGACTGCCCTATTATTATGAAAACACTAGAAACAGACTTCATTATCAATGCACGGGGCATGTTAGTAATTGTTTAATGGTCACACCGAAAACTCAATGCAAACACAATCATTAGTATCTAAATATGTATTTTCAAGGAAGGTACAGGTATTTCCAAATGCTTACTTTGGACGAGGTACAGGACCGGTATTATTGAGCGGTTTGACCTGTGCTGGGCACGAAGATCAAATCGATAGTTGTGGATCCAATGGCTGGTATAATACTAATAGCTACTGTGGACATCAGTATGACGTGGGTGTGTCATGTCCAGGTAATATCATTTAATATTTTACCAATATTGTATCATTTCAATATTGTTAACGAAAATAGTTTGAATTAGGCAAAAACATAAAACCATTAGATTTTCAAAATCAATTTATTTAATAAACTGTGTGTGAGGTAAAAAAGCAAATATTTAGTGTTCAATCAACATTTTCACCTTTGAACATGTTAATTATAAAACTCAACGCGTACTGCTAATTACGCAAAACACGTTATCTTGATATAAGTTATATAGTGATAATATGCATTGTGTGTAGTCCATCTACTATCTCAACGTTATGGTTTTGTTTGCTCTTGCATACTGAATTATATGTATTCTGTTTTTATTTACAGATGATAATCCATTTGGATGAGGTGATATTAATGCCATCAAAGTAATATTTTGAACACATGCAAATATAGAAAATAAAAATATTACAAATATGTAAACGCTTTTCAAAAATGGACCACCACTTGATTTTGTGTGTTAAGCCAGAGAAAAACAGTGATTTGTGATCAGTGAAAACTGAAACAGTATCTTGTAGTGGTAGCGCGAAAAAAATCACCATTTATAAAACTCGTAGCAAAATATAAAAAGTTTAAGGTGGAAAACAGTAGTGCACAATTAATTAGATATGATAGAACATGTATCAAAAAGTGCTGGGATAAAATGTTTAAGGCTTTTCAGAAGCTAATATTTAGTTCAATCAAGTACCTGCTTGAGATCAAGGTTGACCGCTATGTAATCAAGTATTTAACTTCATAAAATGAAATTCAATACATTATCTTCCACGTCTTTTTACACAAATTGATAGCATCAATCTCAAAGAAAGGCAAATGATTCCAATGAGTTATTCAAAATAATAAGTCGAAAACAAACAGACAATGCCATGGGAAAAAAACGAAAAACCACTGTTGTTTGTCTTTTGGTCGTTTTTCATTTTTGCTATGGCTTTGTTCCTTTGGTATTTTACGCCCTCTATTACACAATAGGCTACAATAAATGGTGTGTGTGACAATACTATCAACAAGGGGTCATTACATTATTTAGTGTGCAGATTGTTTTTCATGATTACAACAATTAAAGATGTTGAAATAAGCTCATTTGATGCTGGATGTGAACTGGTTGATATTCTAGTCTTATATTTATGTTATTTATTCGTTGTCTTTGGCTTTGAACTAGTTTTCAGAAACTGCGATTTCTAACATATATATACTTTGTGTTTTTAAAGTGTTAGATGTTTTAATTGTTTTGTACATAACTCAGGCCGTTCGTTTTCTCGTTTTACATTTGTGATTTGGCGGCTTTCAAAGCTTGCTCTGCGGTATAGGTTTTGCTCATTGTCGAAAGCCGTACTTTTACTAACTTCTACGTCATTTTGATCCTTGATGAAGAGTTGTCTCATTTGCAATCATACAACATCTGTCTTTGCCAAAACAAAATTTCAAATGATGCAAACTGTCTTGAAGATAATACTTTTGAATAAAACTGTAGTTACATTATTTTACGTAAAAAATTACATGACCTTTTTATCAATAAAATTACACAATTTTCGATGCACATTTTCTACAGTTTCCTTTTCGCGAAATACAGTTAATAGTTAACAAAGGTATGGGTATACGTAACAATACATATGCAATTGTTAAAATTTGACATCAACTGTAAGGTAGACAAAACCACAAAAGACAGTTAGTTCGTGTACAAATACATAAATTTGGCGGATTTTCAAGCTGGTTTTCCATCAAAATTCTTGTTGGAAAGAAATAAAGATTGTTTTCTACTACGGCCAATGTTGAATATAAGCATTCTGTGTTTAAATATACATGAATATATATTTTTGTGAATTTAAGTCCAATATGAAATATTTAAGTATTTATTTTTGTATTTACTTAAATTGAGGCACTTTATTAGTTCGTTGGGTAACATCAATATCAATAATTAGCAAAAACTAATATGTTTACCTGAATCGGAAGCAAAATATCAAAACATTGACATACACATATTTGTGAATAAAATAGTTACCATTTAACACTGATTAAAAGGTATTTTTATATTGTCCTTTTTTCCCTTTATAACCAATTTACTTTTCGGGACAGCGTGTATGTTTGATTTGTTCATTAGATAATATGTTATCATCTATAGCAGATACCTGTTATTCTTCAGGTAACAAGTCATACATGTACGTACAGTAAAGATATTTAGATTTTTGCTATCGTTAAGTAGGGTTAATTCAGTGTGCTACTGTTTTGATTCGAGCGTCACTGATGAGTCTTGTATAGATGTCTGGTGTACAAAATTGTAAGCCTAATGTTTGATTAGTGTTTGAAACTATCGTGTCAATGTAAAGCTATATTGCTTTCTTATGGCTGTTTACAGCCGTTTACAGTCCAGAGTTACAGACAGTTCTGTCAACAAAAATGATTAACAATTAATGCAATCATTAGGGGAAAGAAAGAATTATACATTTTATTTCAAAGGTATAAAAATAAAAAAATTAGATATGATTGCCAATGAGACAACTCTCCACCAGAGACCAAATGACGTAGAAAATAACAAGTATAGGTCACCGTACGGCCTTCGACAATGCGCAAAAAAACCATGCACCTCGGATATACCAAACAACTATTTCGTACCCTCAACCTCAAGCAGAATAGATATAAAACATTTTTCAAACATAAAAAGAAAAGACTCTATGTAAAGTTTATCAAATTCACTTTTACATATACTGATGATTTTTTTTTCAAGCATTAACCCACATTTCAATGGGTGCTAACTTCTCATATATCCTTGTGGACTTTAGATTAATGATACTACCGAAAGTAGAAGGTCTGCTTCATATCTTGATCTTTTCTACGATATTGACACCGATGGACGACTCAGCAGCTACATACATTCTGCTCCATCGAATGAGGGTCTTCCTTATATCTAAGCACCTTATTATTCTCTATTCTTTATATTTTTGCCCATTATTCTCTATTCTGTGAACTCCCATACACACCCTCTCGAATGACTTTTATATATTTCATTCAGTACATTATGCTCGTGCATTTTCTTACTATAAACACTTTATTTACAAGGGTGTGCTCCTTACAAACAAACAAAAAATCCGCGAACATATTTATGAGGGAGAACGACTAAAATCGACACTTCATAAGTTTTACCGTAAATATCAAGCATTGGTTGATCATTACCATATATATGTTGGCGTTTTAAATCACTACGGACATTTTTTTTTTTTTTTTTATCTTTCGATACCAGTAAAGTCGGATGATATGTAATCCTATCGATAGTGTCCTATTCCCAATAGTGACATTCCAGCTGAAGGTGAATTCGAATAGTGGGTGATGAATGAATAGCAAAAGATGCTTAACAGTGATTGCAACCAGTTTTAGAGTTCATGTGATTTTCTTGGGGATTATACCAAGTCAGGAATATTACAGTTGTTTTCAATTTGTTTGGTGTGTTTGAGCTTTTGCTTTTGCTATTTGATAAGGGACTTTCCGATTTGAATATTTGTTGGAATTCGGTATTTTTGTTCTTTTACTTTTTTATTTTGTACGTTACCTCGAATTGTCTCTTTCTAATTGAGTAATGATATTTCAGCTATTGTCGTCTTAATAAAAGGCTTTTGAAGCGCTGGTGGATGCGTGGTAATACTAAAAATTTGTATCTAGGAAAAAGGAGAAAAAATAAATGACCGAAAATACTCTCTCAAGGATTGTGAAAATGTCTCGTCATTCTTCCTAAATGTACAATACAAATGCATTTATCATTCTTGCACCTGTAAAAGTATCAAGACTAACTTTCCATAAAAATGCAATGTGTTAGGGTACATCAGACGATATGTACGGTAGAAAGGTGGCATTCAACTTGTAAATGAAATGAAAGAGTTGCTTGAACCAAGGTGATTTGAAATGTTAAAAATCAGTTGAAAAAAGTACTATGTACAGATCAGACAAAAAATGTCATTAAACTGGACGTTACACTTAAAGTTTGCCGGAAGTCTAATGAAATTTAAAGACCAAAATGCTTTCTTCCACAGTGACAAACATGACGAACAAACAATCTTTAAATTATGGTCTGGGGATTTCTTATACATCATCGAGTTGGTACATTACCCATGATAAATAGTGATATTAACTGTGATTGATTTGGGCGTAATGCTACTATTGGCTTTTTCATGGCGGTCAGATTTTTCCTGGTGGATGTAGGCGCATTGCAAGTAGAGAACCACTGACCTTACCTAAAAAAAAATCAGAAACTTGTTCCGTACTCATTTCCAAAAGGTTTGCTTCAAAATGTCAAGGTCATTGTTTCTAAATGTAAGCTGACTATCACTTATCAGATCTTTTGTTTGTATAGTTCATGACAATCTGTATAGAAATTCACCATACTTGATGTACACTTGCAATTAAAATAAAGTTTGATATCTATGGAATGTTAAGATCAAAAAGTCAAATGTCAAGGTAATTTTAGGAGCTAGCATTAGACAATTATCTACTTTCTTGCTCCATTTTCAAAAGTATGATTACCTATAGTTCTCATTATCTTTCATTACCTTTGTTAATTATGACCATTTGATGATTTTTAATAGATGAAGGATTTCCTTCAACCTTGAGGTCAAAGAGTCAAATTTCAAGGGCATGCAGAAATGAAAGTATTCAAATATATACTAAGTAATATTTGTTTTGTCATACTTTTGACATGAGCAATAACCTTATATTAGCAGCATATTATAATTGCATGTATGGATATATGTCATGGTTGTATATGTATGTTAGGAAGAAATAATATGTCATATAGTGGCAAAGTCATAGGTTAATGGCTTTTGAAGAATGTAAGCATAGACAATATTCAATGTTTTGTTATTTTATTTAGATTTCGTCTTTTGTGTATTACCACACATTACATATATAGTTTGGGGGCTGTTTCTAGAATGCAAAGGATGCCTAGTCTTTTATTTCATGCTAGCATTAACTAGAGCTGTGAGTCAACTCACTAAAGGATAACACCATCATGCCCGTCCCACAGTAAGCTAAGTAAGTTAAACTATCTCCCTTGAAATATTTCGGACTGGGATTATACTCCTTCATGCACATTCTCTTATGATGTACTACACCTGTGTAAAGTTTCATCAATATTGATCCAGCTGTTAAGGAGGAGTTTCGATTACGAGACCTGTTGCCACATATTGTAATATTTGTAAGATTAATATTTAATTGAGATAGATGGGCTCATTCAGACCGAGTCAAGACCATTCGAGACTAAATTCGATGGTCGATACTGAGTCGAGACTGGTCAAAACTGAGTCGAGACTGGTCAAAACTGAGTCGAGACTGGTCGAGACTGGTCGAGCATTAGTCGAGACTGGTCGAGCATTTGTCGAGACCATATTCAGACTATACCAAGATTATCAAGTTTTCAGTCTGACTTATTAAGTAAA